CCGGTTATTGTTACGTCGACACGACGAAACAGATCATTAAAAGCAGTTATAAGGTTTTGTCCAACTTTTTGAAGATAAAATTAAACAATAAATCCAGTTTGTGTTGACGGAAATTTCTTAAACTTTATCCGTTTTTGTCGTACGGACTCGGTATGTCATTACGATCTAACTCCACGCGTTTTCACACTAATTCCTCGCTGTTCTGTTATTGTAAATGTCTAAAAAAAAACAACAACAACAACAACAACAACAAAAAGCTGTTCTCTGCTCTCTTGAATCTCCCAACGTCACGTGATCGCGTCCTATTTCCGGCGCTGCTGATTGCCCCGCGTCTGTGCGTAAATACGAACCGCCCAGTTGTCATGGAGCTCAATGACCCCAATGCTGCTCGGTCACACGCGGGTGGAAGCGCGAGCAGATGCGACACCCACAGAGGAGAAGAGAGAAGAGAGAGAGAAAGAGGAGAGAGAAGACAAAGTCAAGTCAATAATGCCATAAAAGGTACGAAAGAAAAATGGTCGCTAAATGAAAAAAAAAAAAAAAAAAAAAAAGACCCGTGAGGATGAGGAGATGAGGTTGGTGAGGAGGATAGGCCCCGCGTTTTGGAGCTTAGAGCCGTGAAGGTTGGCGGTGTGTGTGCGTGTGTGTGTGGGGGGTGTCCTCTGCGTGACGTGCGTGCGTGGCGTGGCAGATGCGTGATCATTTTGCGTAAGTACGGGCTGGATTAAAGGGACAAAATAAACGAGCCCCCTCTGACCGCCTCCTCTGAACTCCGGCAGTCATTTTGAGGCAATTCCCCGGATAACAAGCCCCCTTCCTCCTCCTCCTTTTCCTCTTCCTCCCCCCTCACCTTACGTAAATAATAAATACGTGGTTCACGTGGTTCGGTTTGAGGCCTGCCCCACGTTTTGTCTTTTTTTTTTTTTTTTTTTTTTGGAGAGTGAGGAGCAGAAAAAACCCGCGCGTCTTTGAAGGATTGACGCCGGATCTGCTCGTTTTCTTTTTTTTTCTTTTTAATTTTTTTTAATTTTTTGGAGATGCCTTTATTAATGAGTGAATGGTCCGGGGCAAACGCGCGCGGCTGTCAACTTTAGAGCCTCTTTAGAGCCTCTTTAGAGCCTTTCACACTTCCGCGTCCTCTCTCTACGTACGTCACACCAGCGCCCCGGCACGCGCGCTCTGGAACACACAAATGAGGTTCATGTGAGAAGTGGGAAGAGAATGGACATTTGCTTCATCTGAGACTAAAACCACACGTCTTAAACCGTTTACCCACGTATTTCTGACTAAATATGAAACGATTTTTAGTAAATTTATAGTTATTTATTTTAATCTAAATACGTCTGTTTTGGTTGACTTAGTTAAAAAATGTGGTCAAATATTATAATTTTTTACACTCAAAGACGTTTCATTTTCTTTTTACGCACATACACTTTTACGCACCACTTACGCACAGCTGTAGTGTCCACAAGCTTTATTAAACCAATTTAAAAACATGTTTTGCACAATAATTCACTTTTTTGACCTGGGATACAACGCTTAAATATTTACTTAAGTTTTTTTTTTTTTTTTTTTTTTTTTTTTAATAGCTGTAAAACAAAACTAAATCCAAAAAGTGAACACCAAAGACTCCACGTATCATTACATTTCTTATTTCTCTTATTATTTATTTATTTATATATTTTTTTTAAAGGCAGGCACAGTGCAGTTGTCATTAGAGAGAAATTACTTTATGCTTTGTTTAGAAAATAATGAACTCATTAATTCAATTTACAAGTCACAATGCTGTTTTAAATCAGTGCGTAAACCCACATAAACAATTAAAAGATAATATTAAAAACGTGAAAATTCCTAATGCAGCTCATAAGCCAG